GCGCACGGACTCGCCCGCTGGGCAGCAGCTGCTGCCACCGAGGCCCACGGCGGCCGCGGCTCCAGGGCCAGTCAGGCTGCCTGCGAGGACGCCCGGCCACAGCACACCCTCCTGAGCGCGCCCTTCACCTCCGCGTTCCTCAGGCTGTAGATCACGGGGTTCAGCATCGGGGTGATCACGCCGTACAGCATGGAGATCAGCCGGTCCCGGGCTGGGGAGTGATGGCTAGAGGAGGGGCGGACGTAGGTGAATATGGCTGTGCCGTAGAACAGGCAGACCACCAGCAGGTGGGACGCACAGGTGGAGAAGGCCTTGCGCTTCCCTTCCGCTGACCGGATCCTCAGGATGGTGGAGATGATGTAGATGTAGGAGACGAAGGTGACCAGGTAGGCGCCGACCCCCAAGATGCCCCCCACCACCACAACCTGCATTTCCGCCACGTAGGTGGACGAGCACGCCAGGGCCACCACCGGGGGGATGTCGCAGTAGTACTGGTTGACCCGGTTGGGGCCGCAGAAAGACAGGCGGAAGGTGGACGCCGTGTGCAGCGAGGAGTTGAGGAAGCCGGCCACCCAGGTCCCGGCCGTCAGCAGGGCGCAGCGGGCGCGCGTCACGATGAGCGGGTAACGCAGGGGGAGGCAGATGGCCACGTACCGGTCGTAAGCCATGACGGCCAGCAGGAAGACCTCGGTGCCCGCCAGGGCCACCAGGAAGTACAGCTGCAGAGCGCAGCCAACGAAGGAAATGGTGTCCTGCTCCGTCAGCAGGTTGTCCAGCATCTTGGGCACCGTGGCCGACGGGCAGAATATGTCCAAGAGGGACAGGTTGGCCAGGAAGTAGTACATGGGCGTGTGCAGCCTCTTCTCGGCCCCGATGGCCAGGAGGATGGCCCCGTTGCCCAGCAGGGTGACCTGGTAGATGACGGCAAAGACCACGAAGAGGGAGTAGCGCACCTCGGGGAGGTCGGAGAGCCCGATGAGGACGAACTGGGTCACGGAGCTGTGGTTGGCGGCGGCCATCGGCCCGCCCGCCCGCGCGTCCTGCTGCGGGAAATGGAGTCCGCAGCGCCGGTCAGCAGAGACGCAGGGGGCCGCGGGGCGGGTCCCCAGCCGGCGGTGAGCGGCCCAGAGCAGCCTCGGCAGCCCGGCCGAAGGGACGTGTCTGCCGGGACCTGTGTCCGGAGCAGCTGTGGCCGCGACGGTCCTGAGTCACAGGCTGTGTTTCCGTCTCAAGATGACCCCCTCTGAGAAAACCGGATCCTTGAAATCCACCTCTGGCCGGCACGCCCTGGCCCCCAGGGGTGCCGGGGCTGGGGGGAGCAGAGTGCCTGGGGGATCTCTGCGAGGAGAGCTCAGACTCCCCTCTGACCCCCGATGGCAGAGGCTGGAGTCGCTGACCAGCTGCTGGCAAGCCACAGGCGCTCCGTGCACTCGCCTTCCTCGTGGACCCGGGAGCCAATGCTGAGCTGCCTCTGGCAAAGTCTCCGCTGGAAAACCCTAAAGGTGAGACGTGAGCGCGGTGGGTTACACCGGGCGGAACAC